GGGAGGCAGGTGGCTCAGAGTTCAAGACCAGCCTGGTTTACATAGGCCCTGTTGGGGCTAAAACATGTTGTGTGTCAGGGGTGGGGAGATGACACTCAGGTTGCTAAAATGTAGGGGAAGATAGAAAAAGTCTAATTTTTTTTTTCTTTTTCTTTTTTTGGTGTGTGTTCAGGTTGATCTGAGTATATAGAGATCCTGGCACTCCTGTGCTGGGATTAAAAGTGTGCACTCCTATACTCAGCCTTTTTTGTTTTTTTCTTTTTCTGAAATAGGTCTCGCTGTATGCTTCAGGCTGGGTTTAAACTTGCAACCTTCTAGTCTTAGTCTTAATGTCCTGTGGGCTAATAGTGGAGCTTTATAAGCCACACCTGGCTGAGTCATTTTCGTTCTCGTCCTCAGGTCTCACATGAATTTGCCTTGAACTTCAATCCCAGTAATCCCTACTGTGCAGGTAATCCCCCATTCTCCAGTGTGAAACAATTCCACACCTGAGGAGGGAGCTTCTGTGGGTAGAGAAGACTGGGAGAGAGAAGTGGAGGTTAGAGCTAGCCCAGTGGAGTCAATTCACCTTATTATTGAGATTTGGGGCAAGTTCTTCCCGCTGTGTGCTTTGGTTTAAAATATAAGTAAAATTTTATGGGCCTACTGGCAAAGCCCTATATTCCCAGCTACGCAGGAGGCTGCGGCAAGAGAATCAAAAGTTCAAAGTCTGCCTGGGCAACTTGGTCTCAAATGAAAGCCTGGAAAAAGACTGGGTGGGCTACCATTGACCTGACTGTGCTAAGGATGGAATCCAGAGCCTTATGTATACGAGTAAGCACTCTACCACTAGCCACATTCCTAGTTTAGGGAGATGTTTTACGTGACGTCCCAAGTTTTTTCACAAAGACCCAAAATCTGGGGCTGGAGAGATGGCTCAGCAGTTAAGAGCACTGACTGCTCTTCCAGAGGACCTGGGTTCAATTCCCAGCACCCACATGGCAGCTCACAGTTGTCTGTAACTCCAGTTCTAGGGGATCTGACATCCTCACATCAAAACACCAATGCACATAAATAAATCTTTTAAAAATGTATTAAAAAAAAAAAAACCCCAGATTTGGGGCTTCCCCGCACTTCCCCGTGAGAACCCCGTTATAACTTGAAAAATTTTTTTTTGACCTCATCTGATCATCTTACTTTTTTTTTTTTTTTTTTGAGACAGGGTTTCTTTGTAGCTTTGGAGCCTGTCCTGAAACTAGCTCTTATAGATCAGGCTGGCCTCAAAGTCATCGAGATCTGCCTGCCTCTGCCTCCCAAACTACTTTTTTTTTCCCCCTTCTTGAGACAGTATCTCTCTGTACCCTGGCTGGGATGGCCTAGAGCTCTATTTAAGCTAGCCTCACATTTGTGACCCAGGCCGGGCGTGCTTGTTTACTCCTTTAACCCCAGCATTTGGGAGGGCAAGACAGGTGGGTCTTGCCTTGTGGGGTCAGTTGTCCTACTCTATCTCTATGTAGTTCTGTGGATGGAACTTAGGTCACCGGGCTTGCACACCAAGCTCCTTTACCTGCCGAGTGAGCCTCTTGCTGGCTCTCTTGACACTCATAGCAATCCTCTTGCTCAGTTTCCAAAGTACTAACACAACCAGTCTACTCCCCAGTTCAGAAAATATTGTTTTTTTAAGTCAATGTTTCTCTGTGTAGTCTTGACTGTCCTGGAACTCACCCTGTAGACCAGGCTGGACTCAAACTCATGATTCACCTGCTTCTGCCTCCCTGGGGCTGGGTACAAAGGTGTGCACCACCACCGCCCAGCTCAGAAAATAACTCATGGTGTGGGAGAATTATCTGTATTTTGTCAATCATATTTTAATAAAACGCTGATTGGCCAGGCAGGCAGTATAAGTGGGAAAGCCAGACAGGAAGTAGGGGTGGAGCAAAAAGACTGGGAGTATTCTGAAAGCAGAAGCTCTCTCGCCATTCCTGTCCAGACCACCGAAGAGGAAACATGTAAGCTGTCACACTAAAAAAGGTACGGAGCCATTATGGCTAACATAGATGAGAATAATGGGTTAATATAAGTTATAAGAGTTAACAAGAAGCCTGACCTAATGGGCCAATCAGCTTATAACCTTATGGAGTCCTGTATGTAATTTCTCTTTGGGACTTGCTGGCTTGTTGGGGTACTGGGCGGGACAGAAACCCCAACAAGCAGGCCCCTCAAGCTACAAACTCACATTTGGGGAGTTAATTAATTCAAAATATTCTATCAAGTCCTGTCTTCTTTGCCCTTTAGTTTCATTTGTTGGATCGAGCTCTGTCTTGGGTAGCAAGGATGAAATACTTCCAGGTTTCTACATCTTCTGGGTCTAGATGGGAAGATTTCAGGTCTAACCTAATCCTAGGTGGTCTAAGGTCTACAACTTTATAGAATTTTCTGCTGTTCCTTGTAGGCATCCAGGGTATTGTAGATGCCTACCGTCAAGCATTGCCCCAAGTTCGTCTCTATGGGCCTACCAACTTTGCACCCATCATCAACCACGTGGCTAGGTTCGCAGCCCAGGCTGCACAGCAGAGGACAGCCTCGGTAAGAGCTGTGGGTAGCTGTGGTGCCAGGGTGGCGATGAGTGTGTAATGAGGGCATCTAATCAGTGGGACTGTGTGCCTGGGAGGGCTTGGGAAAGAGGATTTGCTTCAGTATATGAACTTGTCTCTAGCAATACTTCGTACTGTTGCTTTTGACTGATGGCGCTGTGACTGACGTTGAAGCCACATGTGAGGCTGTGGTGCAAGCCTCAAAGCTGCCCATGTCCGTGATCATTGTGGGCGTGGGTGGTGCTGACTTTGAGGTCATGGAACAACTGGATGCTGATGGTGGCCCTCTTCGCACACGTCGTGGAGAAGCAGCTGCCCGTGACATAGTGCAGTTTGTGCCTTATCGACGGTTTCAGAATGTGAGTAGGGGAGGAGTTTGCAGGATGGTGGAAGTGGTATTGAGGCTCAGTAGATAAAGCCTTTTCATCAAAGTCTGGAAAGGTTGAATTTTGGGTAAGATGTAGAGATTTACAGGCTCTCATTGACTTTGCCTTTCTTCTCCTGACAGGCTCCACGGGAGGCATTAGCACAGACTGTACTTGCAGAAGTGCCTACTCAGCTGGTTTCCTACTTCAGAGCCCAAGGTTGGGCCCCATTGAAGGCACCTCCAACTCCGGCCAAGGGCCCTGCACAGCCCCCCCAGGCATAAGTTCCCTTGGAGAGCAGGCTATGGTCAGTCTATTTCAGCCTTTAGCCCACTCAGTCCTTTAGGCAGTGGACCAACCCTGCACATTTTTCCCACTTTATAGTTGATATATTTATACTTGTTTCTGCTATTGCTGCTCTTGACCAACCTACCTGCCTTGGACCCATCTCATTCAGGAAAGACTAGTATAAAGATCCACCCCTTTCTCAGGGTTACACACTGGTATAGACAGCCTTGCTTACTTTGACCTGAGTCTTTGTTGACCTTGGCCTTGTTGAATGAAAGTCTGATAACCCTATCCAAGCAAAGTGGGTCTAATCACCCCAGAGACAAACTTTGAAAACAAAGTTGGTATATAAAGTAAGCACGTGGTTGTTCCTTCCTCTGGGTGTAGCTGAGCTGGGAACATGGATAAGATGGAAGGTGTTAGAGGTGGCGAAGCTGAGAGAGTGAGGGCTACTAGACCTCCTGTGCTAGGTTTGTTCCTCTGTTCTTTGGGAACACTTGTGTAGCCCAGGCTGGCCTGCAGTTTACCATCTTGCCTTAACCTCGTGGACGCTGGAATGTGCTACTGTGCCTGGTTCACAGTTCTGATATTTTTTGGTTTGCCTTTTTTTATTTTTTTGACTTACGGTCTCATGTAGTTCAGCCCTGGCCTGGCCCTACATGTGTAGTCAAGGATGTCTTGAATTTCTGTCTTCTTACTCCATCTCCCAAGTGCTAGGATTATAAGCATGCCCCACTATGTACAGCTTAATAGCTTTCTTATATTATTAGAGATTTAACATATATATTCATTTTGTAAAAACTTTATAGGAGGGACATGTCTTAACCACATTGCCCAGGCTGACTTCAGACTCTTTGGACTCAAGAGATCCTCCTTCCTTAGCTTATGAAGTAGATGAAGCTATGGTACACTTGGTGCCTGATTTAGAAAAACAGATTTTCTTTTGCAGGGAGGAAGGGAACTTTTAAGTGCAGAATTAAAATTTCACTCAATCTGCCAGTCAGTCATGATTGTGTACAACTTGAATCCCAGCATCCAGGAAGCAGAGGTATTTTAAAATTTGTTTTCTGAGCTAATAAATCATTGTTTAAAAACTGGGTGTGGGGGCTGGAGAGATGGCTCAGAGGTTAAGAGCATTGCCTGCTCTTCCAAAGGTCCTGAGTTCAATTCCCAGCAACCATATGGTGGCTCACAACCATCTGTAATGGGGTCTCCTCTTCTGGCGTGCAGGCATACACACAGACAGAATATTAAAAAAAACTGGGTGTGGTGGTACATACATTTAATCCCAGCACTCAGGAGGCAGAGGCAGGTGGATCTCTTGAGTTTGAGGTCAGCTTGTTCTACAGAGCAAGTTCCAGGACAGCAAGAGAAACCCTGTGTCCAAAAAAAAAAAAGGAAAAATTGTTTGCACACCTTTAACCTCAGCACACGCGAGGCAGTGGTGCTTGAATCTTTGAGTTGAGGCCAGCCAACCTGGTCTACAAAGCGAGTTCCAGGACAGCCAGGACTGACTGTTACACAGAAAACCCTGTCTCTGGGCAAGGGAGGGGGAGATAATGGGAACAATGATTGGTGGCTTATGGCTGTAATGCCAACAGTTGTGAGTCAGGGGCAGGTGGATGGCTGTGGGTTTGATGTGGACTCATACTATGAGCTTCAGATCAGACAAAAAAATATACTATTTGTATCTGGTTTGCATTTATTTTGGATGCCTTATCACAACTGCCTTGTCTCCTTTTCCAAGTCTATGTTAGTCACCTTTTTCCTCAGATCTCACATTTTTAATTTGAATTTATTTCCATACCTACCTATGGCTAGGGATCATTCCTAGGTTGACTTTATTCTCAGTAGCCTCTTCATGGGCTGTATGTGTCAGAGTCTTCATTCTGTTGTTCTTTTCAGCATATTCAAAGTATTTTTCCCTCAGCTGTTACTGTTTCATATTTTTATACACAATATAAAATTTTTATTTTTATATATGCTAATTTGCTTTAAAAAATGTATCCATTTATCAATAAATGCTCAGTGGCTATATTTGTTTTGTTTTGTTTTTGGTGTTGGGAATTGTGCCTAGGGCCTAAGTCATGCTAGAGTTGGGCTCTACCACTTAGCTTATCTTTGGATATATTTTGGGAGCTGTAGAGTTAAGGACATCTTCCCTTACATAAGACCCTGTTTAAGCCGGGCGGTGATGGCACACGCGTTTAATCCCAGCACTTGGAAGGCAGAGGCAGGTGGATCTCTTTGAGTTCTAGACCAGCCCGTCTACAAGAGCTAGTTTCAGGATAGAGGTGGAAGGAGAAAATTAACTCTACAAAGTTTTCCTCTGACCTCCATACTAGAATGGTATGCACACTCAACGTACATATATGAAAAGTATGAACAGAAGCTTAATGAGGTGGTTCATGTCTACAGTCCTAGCACTGGAGTGCCTGAGACAGGAGTATTGCCTTGAATTTTATTTTATGCTAACCTGGGCTACATAGTGAGTTCTAGACCAGCCTTAGATTGGGAGGCACTTATGTCTTCCAATGACAAAATACTATCACCCTAATTTAAGTAGATGGATAAGTGTTCTGCCTCACATATCAGTAGGAAGGATCCCAACAGCCAAGAGACTACCCATGCTAGTCTCTTTTCTCCACCCTTAAGAACTCTAATTGACTGCCTGTTTGCACTTCCCACCACCCTGACCAGTTCTTTTAGCCATTACAGTGAGGATTATTAGATCTGATGAACATCACATGACCTACACCTAAGGTCCGAGAAATGACCAGCTGCATGAAAGCTACCAAGCGTAGGTCAGCTTTGCTCAAAAGGTTTCCAAGAAATTTCCAGATCTTAGCTTTCCAGTGTTTGCCAGAGGAGAGTTTCCGTCTAAATCTGTATGTAGCAAGAACTGAGGACATTTCCAGGAATTGGGGGTAGGGACTGAGCATAAGCATGACTTCAGCTGCTGAGAACTCTCCAGGTGAAGACGGATGCCTCTTGAGGGAGGCCCCATTCCTGTGCTCCTTTTCCCGAATATGAGTGGAGCGAGTTGCCGCCTGAGCAGTTTCCTTCTCTGTACTGAGGATCAAGCTGCATCGTGTACAGTGTGGAACGTCCACAACACTTTCTCTTGCATATGGTAGATACTATAAGCATTACCTGCTGCTACTATATGACTCTGGACTTCTCCAGATAAAGAGGATGTGTTGAGGGCCGTGTTCTGCCATACTGACCTGCTATAGGCAGCCAGAGCTTGACCCCAAAGGTGACCTCCCAGCACAGATGCAGTTTTCTTTAGCACAAATCTCAATCCTCCAACCGTCAGCATTTTTAATTGGGTCCCCCAGTGACCCCTGTGGCATTGTCTGCCCACTCTGAGATCCGCACACCGTGGGCACGGACTCGATATAAGCATGTGAAACGGGGATGGCCCCAGTTGCTTAGAATCTGTATCTTCACCTTGGGGAAGGCTGATGGAGGGTCATTCTGGGGAGACAAACGGATCATGCCAACAACTGCTCTTAAGACTGTCCTTCCCACCAATGTCCATTGCCCCATCTTAGTGCTCTCACCCCTAGGGATAAACACACCTGTAGGTGGAAAGTCTGAATTTCAGATTTCTGCACATCAAAGATGAATTTTCCCAAGAACACTTCCGTCTCATCATCAGCTTGGAGCCCCTGGAGGGGAAGAGTGTATGGAGGAACAGAGAGGTACAGAGGAAGCACAGGACAGCTTTGTTCAGAGCCATCTACACCTCCACAGCTACCTGTGCTCTGGTTCATGCTCTAACATAGGATGTGTGGTGTGGAATGTAACAGCCAGGATAGCCTAGCACTAGGGATGCTAAGCCAGGAGTGTGAGTTTAAGGTCAACCTGGGCTGCAGAGAAGGCCCTATCTTAAGCAAACCAATCAGGCTACTAGAAAGTTGTTAGCAGGGTAGGAAAGGTGGCTCTTGCCAAGGACCCAGGCTGAGTTCCCAGCACCCACATGGTGGCTCACACTGTTCTTACCTCCAGTTCAGATCTACCACTGTCTTCTGACTTTCTGGGGCACTAGGCATGCATGTGATGCACATACTTGCATACAGGCAAAACCACTCATACTTAAATCTTTTTAAAAAAATAATGTGACTGAGTTTGTAATCACTCCTTTTAGAGCACGATCATTCCCCTTCAGATGGGAGGAAACAACAGTACTTCATAGGTTTTGCAGGAGCAATGAAATAATATGTATAGAGCTTAGAAAGCCAATACTTACTATCTGGATATGATGATGCTCATTACAGCCTGTAGTGGCCCGTGTGTATGTCCAGTTTACAGATGAGCAAACAATGACACACCCTAGCAATAGTTCTCACCACTGTCTAGGGTTTCCTAAGCAGATGCTCCATCTCCTGGTCCCTGCCCCACTCACAAAGACTGCAAAGTCCCGGGGTGCACTGCTGGCTCCTCCAGTGTGTGCCACGGTGGGTGGAGGATGCTGTAGGGTGATGTCGCTTAGCTGCACATGACCTGGCAGTCGGATCACCACCTGACCTTGGTCACCTTCAAAGGCCCAGCAGTTTCCAGGGAACACATCTGGCTGCAGGAGTTTGGACAGACCATCAGAACACACGACAACCCCGAGACCAGACAGTACTGGGAATTGGAGGGTAGCCTGAGCTGCATAGCAAGACCCTGTCCTAGGGCTGCTACTCAGCCCAGAGCTCTGCCTTCTGCCCTGGTTCCTGCCTATCCACATGAGGCAATGCTGAGTCCCCAGCACTTAGAGTTCTCTTCAGTTTAACGCCATCCTTGGCTTGGCAGGAACCTTCCCACACCATGCCAGACCCTGCCTCCAGTGGGGCACCTTCTGAAGCCAAACTGACTTCAGCTCCAGTCCTCTCTCCACCAAGTTGATTCTTGCCCTCTCCCGGCTCTTGCCCATTGGCACCATCCCCAGCACCCTGGTTCCAGGCCCACCTCCAGTATGACTGAGGGTGGGCGAGCATAGTTCCAGAAGCTCAAGCGATTCCAGAAGTAGGCAGTGTTGGTGTCCTCATAGTCACTGGATGTCTTCTCCAGGTCGATAGAGGCTCCTGGGCGGGCAGAAGTCACTTTCAGGGACTCCCAGGCTTTCTCATCAATGCGATTATCTAGGTCCCAGAGTCTGCTTCTTTCCATATATCTACGGCTTACCCACAGAGCTCAGTGCATAGTCGGGTTTCTGCACGAAGTCCTCATTCAGTCTCTGGAACACAAGCTTGGCCACTCTCTAAAGGCAGAAGTTGGAATAGGAGGGTTGCAGGCTAGTTTACAGTGGCTCTGCTTCTCAGTAACCCAATATTCAGAGATAGGACTTTAAGGGCCTTGAGAAAGAGTCCCCACAGTGGGTATCTGGGGTGAAGATTCGTCTCAGGACCCAGGATGTGGCAGTTCCAAAGCGCAGACCTGCCCCTCCCCCCCCCCCGAGTCCCCTTGGAGGGGACTCACCTCACTGTGGGCTGCGCGCACGCTGGACACCTCCTTGTGAAGTTTATTCAGCTCCTTCTGCAGCTGCTGCAGCTGCTGGCTCTGGGAGTGCACGCGCTGATGGTATTGGCTGGATTGGGGAGGTAGGTGCCATGTGTCAGCTACCCATCCCTGTGCACGCCTTTCTGAAAGCCCCCAGAGATTTGCAGAGCTGCCCAGCTCCCAATCCCTGCCCTCTTTCACCTCAGAGTCAGCATCTCCTTAGGCTCCTGTTGAGGGAGGGGCAAATAAGCAAGGTGTGGCTAGACTCCCAGGACCTCCCTTTTTGAGAATTACTGCCCTTTCCCTCCCATTCTGGGTTGGCCTCTGGGGATTGTGCTCAATACTTCCTACATTGCCTCTCCCAGCAGCCCAGTGATGCCCTCCCCACAACTTTTACCCCGCCTGGAGACATAGTCTCTTCAACTCACATTCTCCAAAGTGGGGACCAGGTACAGGAGACCCCACCAGAATACTAGAAAAAGAGAACAGGGCATCCGCTGATATAAGGGAACGGGGAGGAAAGCAAGGGAGTTTGGGGCTGGGGTTGCAGAAGGACTGACTGTGAGAGCCCAAGCGGAGTCACTAGTGTGGGTCGAGGGGCACAGGGACATGTGAGCTGAATTTGGCTACAAACCTTCAGAGCTGGGGCCCCAAGGAGTCGAAGCTCCTCACCTGCCAGGAAGATGCTCAGGAGCGACAAAGAACTGAACAGGAAGCGGATGGAGCAGACTTCCCTGAAGAACCAGGTTGGAAGCTGATGCCTGAGGCCCTAACCCACCCTAGCCTCGACCCCAGGGTTCTATACCCAGTTCCTAGGAACGCAACTCAATCAGATACGAATCAGCTCAAGCGTTGGTGGGGCCCAGCCCTGCTGCCCTTCCCTGAGCCATCCCTGCCCATTCTTCCTCTGACCTGTACACACTGACCAGCGCGTCTCCTGCCACTGATAACAATACGCTCAGCACCTGAAAGAGGAGACCTGGGGGCCGGGGACAGGAGAAACCTCTCAGAGAGGGCAAGCCATGTGGGTGGGGTGGTGCAGGTTCAGAAAGGCTCGGGAAGGGCCAGGGGCAAGGTCCTGGGGCTCAGGAGGTGAGGGTGGGCTGGGAAAACGAGCCGAGGCTGGACACTTGGGCTCGGGCTTGGGCAGGAGAACTGGGGTTCCGAGTGCCAGGTCAGAGGGGATGGGGCTGGATTCTCGGACCCGGGCTCGGAAGGAGAACTGGGGTTCCGAGTGCCAGGTTCGAGAGAATGGGGCTGTCCTGGATCGTACTCAGAAAGCTCTTGGACACCCGCGTGGGAGGCATCTCCTGCCTCAGATCCAGGGCCGGGAGAAGGTCGAGCTGCTCCTCCAAGTCTGCAGGAGATTCACCCGGTTCTGCGGGAGTCCAGGGCTTCATTGAGGTCTTGGGCACCGCAGTCCCGCACTTCCCCCGGGGCCCGGGCGCTGGCTCCTGAACCTAGTGCTAAACAGCTGGGTAGCCTCTCTTAACAAGCCTCGGTCCCGCCGCACCCCCATGCCACGCTCCCTGCACACCCCCAGACCCAGGGCGGGAAAGCTTCAGTCAGCAGAATAACCCGCCCTAGCCTGAGTCTCGGGGCGGCGGGGCACGGGTCCAGGCTGCCACTCACGTCGGCGCTGCGGCGCCTCCTCAGCCATGCCCAATCACAGGATCGCTTCCGCCCCCTCCCGGGACCGGCCATGACACCGTGCCCCGCCCCTCAGAGACTCGCGTGGAGCTCGCCCCCTCAGGGGCGAGATCGGAACTGCA